GCTTTCACATTGAGCAGCATTAACTACACAGATCCGTTGTTCACTGACGAGCTGCGCAAAACCACGTTCATATTCGCGCGATTTTTTGCGCAGCTCGTCAGTGAACAGCGTCTCTGTGTAGTTAATGCTGCTCAATGTGAAAGCCCGCAGGTGATGGAGATTTACCGCTGATTACAGAACCGGCTTTCTGACAAGATGCGCGTTAAATATCGCATGCGATTTATCGTGCAGCCCTACTATTTACCATATATTTATTTATTCAGTTTTATTTTAGGTTTACATTTAAATATAATTAGGTCCTGCTACTAGTCACCATTTATTTTATTTGAATTATTTTTTTTTAGATTTAGGTTAACAATTAAATATAATTAAGTCCTGTTTTTTAGTCACTATTTGTGAATTTATTATTTAATTATTATATATATTTTTTTTTTTACTTGACTAATTTATTTTAAAAGGTCCTGCAGTGTGGCAAAACCGTTTTTAAATGTTCAAAGATTCCATGTCTCTCAAGTAATTTGAGCTCTCTTATTTTTGTTGCGGTAAGGTGTGTTTTAAATGCTTTTTTTGTTGCTTTTTCTATTTTCTGTTAAATGCTGAGTGATGTCAGATGTGAAATATTGATGTTAAACCATGAGAGAATGCACATTCTGAGTGCATTAAAGATAGGCGTAGTGATCAAGGCTCAGACACTCTGGATCAGACGGAGGGTGAGGTGAAACGAGGAGACTAGTTAATCCCATCCAAGTACATCAGATCTGCTCTCTCACCTGTTTGAACTCCAACACACAAACACACACATTCTCATTCTCAAAACACTCTCTTAGCATAGTAAGACACAGTCTCGGCAAGAGTAGCGTTCCTTATGCCATATGACAATAAGGTCTTTTGCTAGGTTACGTTAATATGACCACAGACAGATAAATATTTTGGGCAATAAAAAAATATTTTTGCCTGCTTTCAGTTTAAGAAATAGTGTTTACACTACAGCTCCAATCTAGAGTTTTACATGCTTTATGCAAATTAGAAAAGATGTGCAAACGGAAAAATCATTCTCTTATTGGTGTATATATATATATACACTACCATTCAAAATTTAGGGTCAGTAAGATTTTTGAATGTTTTTGAAATGTCTCTTATGCTCACCAAGGCTGCAATTATTTAATCAAAAATACAGTGATATTGTAAAAGATTATTAACAGTTTTCTATATGAATATATTTTAAAATGTAATGTATTCCTCAGATACAAAGCAGAATTTTCAGCATCATTACCGCAGTCTTCAGTGTCACATGATCCTTCAGAAATCATTCAAATATGCCGATTTCATGTTTTTGTGGAACCCACGATATATTTTCTGTTCAGGATTCTTCAATGAACAGAAAGTATAAAGCAGCATTTATTTGAAATAGAAATCTTTTGTAACATTATAAATGTCTTTACTATCACTTTTGATCAATTTATTGCAAATAATAAAAGAACACATTTCTTTTAAAAATACCCCAAAATTTTAATCACTCCATAAAATGGCATGAATGGCAAATACTGATAATATCTCCATTA